AATGTTTCTGTGGAACTTCAATTCAATGTTGATTGAACAAAATGTTTCTCAGAGTTTTCAGGGCCTCTCTGGGCTTTTTTCGAGGAATACTCTGGACATCTCGAACAAGATTCAGTGAGGGGTTGTAGAGATCGTTGAGTTTCATTGAAACCATGAGGTAATCTATGTTAGATCACCACTTAAAACCTGGAAGCACTGGACAGCGATTTCTTCCCTGGTCTTGACTCCTCAGCAGTACGTATCCGTTACCCTGTACGCACGAATCAAACCTAGGATCTTCCGTCTTGCTCGTGAGTCCTCAAGCTCTAGACCACTGAATCGGCATTAAACGATGTTGATCTCTAGTCTCAATCAATTCACGACATTGCGTGACCATCGTTTATTGTCTTCAGTGGGTAACTGCCTCACATTCGACAGAGTATAGATTGCATTTACTTCATTGATTTCGAAATGTTTTCACAAATGTCATCCTAGTGATTTCCTCAGCAAAGATTAATCCTTAGATATCAGCTTCTATTTGTTGGGATAAAATGCTGATCAAACGCCATTGGATTTCTTTTCAAGGATCCATATATTTGTCTTTTATCATGTTTATTCAATATGTACTTTTTTCTTTGTTAACCCTCAGAATCAAATCGTTTTATAAACTTATTAGTAAACAATTCTTAGTATAGATTAAATGTTATAATTTTTCTTTAGATTCCGACGTTTTACTGAAAATCTAATTGTTAACGGAGTAGAACGATTGTCAATAATGGATTGGTCTAATTCTAATAAACAAAATAATAAACATAGAAAATCTGTTCAAAGTTCACAACCATCCGTTGAAGCGTATTGTTCAGATTTCTTATCTATAGATCCATATAATCCAAAATTTTCCAATGTTCAATCAATTCTTCTTGATCCTTCTTGTAGTGGTTCTGGTTTATCAATTCGTCAACCAGATGGTAGTGAACAATATGAAAAATGCACATATAAAGATAGTAATAATTATACAGATGAATATAATGAAGAATATACATCTCGTTTAAAACGATTATCGAATCTTCAAGCTATGTTATTAAAACATGCATTAAAGTTTCCAAATGTTCAACGTGTTGTCTATTCAACTTGTTCAATACACCCTGAAGTAAGAATTCTTCTAATATAGTCTAATTTTGTGTTATTATCATATTGTAGATATGTATGACTGGTTAGCATTTTTTTTAGCGAGTTAGTTTTCTACGGGATGGAATCACTAATCCCATGTCCAACCCTCCTCCTTTATCTGAGCTTGAGACAGAGGGGCTCCAGGCGCAGTTAAACTCTCCCATGCCGCGAGTCGAACCTGGGCCGCCTAGGTGAAAGCCAGGAATCGGAACTCCTAAGAAAAAGTAGTCGGCGCCTTATGCTTCACTGGGATTAACAGGCGTAGGTAAGATTTGTATAACTGTGCAGTTTGTATACAGTTTTGTGTACTAAACTATAGGTCAAACTTTTGTCGTATAATTAAAATTAGACAGACCTACTTTTAACACATGATCGAATGATTTTCATTGAGATCATGGTCGATTCATGATTTCAATTAAACTCAACAATCTCTACAACTCTATAATGACATCATTCAATGTTTTACATACATGAGGGTTAGAATTAATCCATTGTTAATATTATTGTGGACTTCATTTAATCATTCTCTATTAAGATATCTGCATGCTGGGCACATTGTTCCGATTATACTTTTTAGTAAAGTTGGATTGTGACTAGTAGTGGATGCGCATTTTATCCACTTGAGGCGTCGTCAGCTGTATGTACCTGGGAAATATACTGGGTCTAATCTCCAACATGGACATCAGCACTGGGGTGGGCCATGTACATCCGGCTAACGTGTTCCATGTAGGATGAAACACCCATCCTAGATTTCACTGCTCGCCACAATTCAACTTTACAGATCCAGTTTTTGAAAATTGAATAGTTAGATCATTGAGTCACATTTTAATGTTAATTGTTTTACATCATATCCATTTTGGGTAAATTTAAGGGAATATTTATACTGGTTGACAGTTATTTCTGTTTACCTTGAGGCAGTGTAACTTGATCTATGGACGTTGAGAAGATATGGGTAGATTACTAGTGTGTAGTCACAATTGTTTTGGAAGTGTTACTATTGTATGTTGAATTTGTAGTGTTAGCAGTGCCATGATATATTAACACCTAAATGGTTGCCTAGCACATGTCAATCTGCACGAAATTCTGAATTGAGAATAGAAGGTCTCAGAATGAAGTGGTAAGAAATAGTATCATCGTTTGTCTACGTAGTGGTTATAGGTATTACAAACATTTTTAAAAACAATAACTAAAGTTCTTGGCTCGAGTCCCTGAAACTTACACTATGAGTAAAAATCAAATAAAAATCCATTCAGAAATTTTGAAGGTATTTACTAGATCACTTTAAACGGTTTGGTTGTGTCTACTTCGTAACGCGCTGTCAACCGAAAGCGATAAAACGGGGCTACAAAACGATTTTGTTAGATTTTTTCCAACCATTAAAGGAGGTTCTTTCTAACTCGACTAAGCTGTATAGTCGTATACCCAACGTATCTCCTCTTGGGAATCCTGTCAACTTTTGCTTTTTTTTGGGAATAAGGTACTCAAACTCAATAATAAAACTGTTTATAAAACAAAAAAACGCCGTTCACAACTCTTTTATGAAAGCCATTGAAAATCAGTGTAGTCTCAAACCATTGTCTGTTTTATTTGTAGTAGTTTGTGTCTTTTCATTCTTGATATTAAAGACTGTAGTCAATAGCTTTCTGTTGATTATATGTTCATCCTGAGCAGATTGACCTATTGTTGTCTTGTGACTGCAGATTTGACGGCAGCGTACTATCGATCGGATCAATGACAGTAAAACACATAAGAACAACCTAGAGTTCTGATTGGTCCCACTTCCCTGTCTAGCCCAGCCAGTTGAGTCCAGAACGCAAGTCTCAGCCTCTGAGATATTCTCATCGGGACACAACACCTATAAAGTTTATTTCTAATTTGTTTGAAGAGATTTTCTTCTGAAATAACGATGATATTAATTGTGTATTTTGTTGTTGTTGTTGTTGCTGCATGGTTATGTTTATTTAGGAAAATGAAGCAGTTGTACGTGAAATTGTTGATTATGCATCAGATAAATTTTATTTAGAAACAATTTGGCCATATATTGAATCATCTTCTAATTCTATCAATCAACCAATATGGAAACATCGTGGTCTATCTGATATATATCAATGTGAATCATGTATACGTTCATCTGAAAAAGATTTAACAAATGGATTCTTTGTTGCTTTATTTATAAAATATCAATCAAATAATTCATTGAATGTTACATCATCACCACCACCATCAATTATGACTACTGAATTAGGCGTACCTGGTAACTCATCGTCGACATCCAATAATAATACACCAACTTCCATTGTTGTTAATTGTAATAATAATGAAAATGTTAATTTGGAAAAACAAGAATTATTTACTTTTAAAATACGAAAGAAATGTAGAACTAATCTTTAAGTGTTTACATTTCTGTCATAAAATTGTATTATATTTTGTAAATTAGTAACTATGACTATAATGTTGTAATCTTATTATGTTTAATTAAAAAAAGAAAAGAACATATAAATAGACAAAACTTTTCATATATTTTTGTGTGTATGTATGTGTGTGTAGTTTTTTTTGGTGGGGGGGGGGTGTTGGTATAGTTTTTCTGTTTATGTGTTAATACTTTCGTTTCACAGATTGAAATCATGAGTCAATTGAAGCTAGACCACCCATGGAAAACCTGGAAGCATTGGACGGCCGTTTCGTCCTAGTATGAGACTCCTCATCATGAATTGATATTGATAATTTAAAGCAATTGGTCCCTTTGATAAATTTCAATGGTATAATAAGAAAATAAAGATTATCAGAAAACTATGTGGTGATATTCATTTGGTGTGGTTTACTTGCATCTTCCTATTGCTATTTAAGACTGTAATTGATCAGTCTCTTCTTGGCATATGTGCATGCTGTCTCGATATTGCTTGAAATCACAAGCTTTTTAAACAAAGATGGATAGTGGCTAACAGTGAAATCCAGTTTGACGCTCATTTCGTCTTATTTTGGTACTCGTCAGCTGGATGTACCTACATGTCAGAGTTGATGTTCACTCAGAAACCCGAACCCAGTACCGTTTGCTTAAAACGCCTCGCCGGAGATGGTGGGCTTAAAGCCCCCAAATGCCTGGTATGGTCGAGAGTGGGGTGGGCCCTCCCCCCCTTTCGAAATGCTCTCACACGGCCACGCGTATACAGCCTCTGCCAGGGAAGTCCTACTCACTGCCTTCCCGTGACGAGGGTGTTTTTTACGAAAATGAGAGGACGAAAAGCGAATATCCGGCGTACTAACCGGATCCCAAACCAATGGTGCACATGGGCTCCAGTATCTTGCGGGAACAAATGGCGTATGAACCAATCTTGGTCACTGGCTACCATGGGACTGCATCTCCTCACGATGTGCTCCACTGCCTTGTGCATCAGACCTTTAGGTCAAAGGCTCGGGGTGTTGCCCCTTAAGAAAACCACCTGTTTCGGTCTGAGCACCGGAACAGTATCACAGTCCACACACAAATCACGACTTGTATGGAGCATATCTATTCAGTGCCCATTTGTACCAATGTTTACATGTTCAAATAAATAAATAAATAAACATCCTTTACAAAATTCTATCAAGCGAAAACAACGCTCTTCTAAAGCATCTATTATGAGTAGATAGCTAACAAAACTTAAACAAACAAGTACAATGTTGATTGTGTTTAATCATTTTGCAAAAAAAAAACACTAAAACATTGTAACCCTCAACCAAATAGTTCCTATCGACTATTGTCAATAATCATGAATGTTGCATAATTGTTACGAGTTTTACATATACCATTATTTATGACTTTAATTTTAGGTTATTTGATCTCTTCTCTATTGAAAGTGTCGTTGATTATAATGAATACAGAACATCTTGAGAATGTGCAATCGGTAAATGGTTTTTTTTTATCTTAAATATTTAACAGATATTTTCCTTGCTTCTACTATTACATATCTGTCAATGTTTAATATTCATTTAAACTATATTCTGTTTTCGGGATGGACACATTTATTTCCAGATGTGTCTCGATTCCTGGGCGTTGTCTAATATATTTACATGAGAGCTCTGATTGTTTTATATCCTGTAGATCTCCGACCAATATCACGTTCCAAATCACCGATCAAAATCATGATTTTAATTTGATTTATTATTTATGATATAGCTTAGTGTCTCTGACTTGATAATTTACACAGCCGACCAGCGCTATTGACCTTGAACAGATCACTAATTTCTATTAGGTGTACCGACTGTTCACAAGCTTGTTTCTAAGTTATACCTTGAGTTGATAAGTATCAACCAGCTTCTATAATATTAACAATATCAAACAGACGTGGTCTACATATAAATATACTGGACCACATCACACTGATCATACATGAAGAAGCTGAAAGTGGCTTTAAATAGAACAAATTGCAACATATAGATTGTCAATAAATTAAGAATATTAAGTCGTATAACTGTAATTAATGGAATTGAAATGTATAAACATAGTAATCTAGTTACTCAGTAATTATACAATGCAATTATAATTAATAATTATTCAAACAACTAGTTCCGACTTTTACAATATTCTTTCTATTATAACACTGGTTACGTCATCATCTTCTATCAAATGCTTGAACATTGTGACAGCAAATATAGTATAGAAATGGTATTTCTTTTTCTTGATATTGGATCTGCTATCGATTCATTACTGAAGAATTCATTATAATAGAATCGTATGTTGAAGACACTTCTGTTAGGATTTCAATAATATCTTAAGTGCAATTGTTATGTAAACCCTTAGTTTGTATATATTTAATGAGTAGTCAACACTAAGCATGATACATCACTTCCCGACTAGTCAGTCCATCAATGTATACTTCTTTCCTGAGGAACCTGAGAAGGAAACTGGTTTAGTGGTTGGTTGGTTTTGATGATTTAAGAGTGTAGTCATAGTGCTTCAGAGATAAATACTTGAGGCCAATCACACATATCTTTTATTCAAATTATTTTAAACAAATGAACTCCATACCTAACCGACTTTACTGCCAGCTACAGAAATCCATGTAACAAAGTAACGTGTGCTATTTTTTGAGGTCAACGTTTTCTATTTATTTTTTTTTACTTAAACGCATAAACATTTGTACAAGGAGGTACCAAATAGATATGCGTCACATAAATCATTCGATTTGTATGAGGCTAAGTGCCCAAACTGAAGCAGGTGGTTGTTTTAAGGGCCACACTTAGAGCGTTTGATCTAAAAGTCTGATCCACAAGGTAGTGGAGCAACATCAGAAGATGCCATCCCATGGTAGCCGGTGACCAACAATTGGTTCATACACCATTTGTTCCTTCATTGAGTAGGATTTCCCTGACGGTGGTTGTGTGCACATGACCATGTGAGAGCATTTCGAGGAGAGCTGACTCTCCTCACTCTCGGTCGTACCAAAGTATTTAGGGGACATCAAACGTTTTCTAACTTCCTCAATCATTTCGTTTGTAGACAATGATATTGTAGATGTTGGTTATCAAGTCGTTTTGTTCTTGAAAGTGATTTAACTGATTTTTAATGCTGAATATCACCTTTTTCTCTAATTTTTTTATTTCAGGAAACTATACCTATAACTAATGGAGAAAGTGTATCAAAACGAGCAAATCGTAAATTGGATCAGTATTTAAAGCGTAAAGAAGTAATTTTTATAAAATATAATCAGATTTATCTAGAAAATAAAAAAATTTTTTTTTTCTTATTATATAAATAGGCAAGACGTGTAACAAGGAAAGCGTGTAAAGAACGTCGTAAACTTCGACAACAACAGCAGCAGCAACAACAACATCAACAATCATCTTGTGTTGTTGTTCATGATGTGAATAATGATACTTGTATATCGACAGAAAATAACCTTTCAATTCCAAATGATACTTTTACTTCACACAAAATTCAACGTTTAAAAATGTCAGAATCATTGTGTCAAACTAAAGTTGTCATTGATTGTGCATATGATCATTTGATGTCATTCAAAGACATTTGTAAATTGGCTAGTCAAGTAAGTAGATTTTATACATAGATTCATATTCACAGTTTTTATTATAGATTTGATAATATGTATACATTACCCATCACTTTGTTAGTGATAATCGTAATAATAATAATAGTAATGATAATAATAATAATAATAAACTCAAATTTGTAAACTAATATTAAGTTCACATTAAGTCGTAGCACGCTGATTAACCCGTTTCTAACTGTTTGAGAGGATACTCAATACTCTTATATTCTTTATGTTTGTTGTTCCAGTTCACTTGGATATATCTTGTCTCCGACTATCGTAACCAATAGTTGGAGACTCTGGGTGACATGGCTCAGAATCGATTACAATGGCGTCGGTGTATACACTCTCTGTCTTCCCTTAAACTAAGATATTAAAATCGCTTCATATCTGTCTTTCTACGAACTAATTCTTTCTTCCTGTACTATATCCTTATTGCAATCTTTCTTTTATATATTACCACTTCTGAATTAACTACTTTTATGAATCCGGTGTTCATCTTGTTGTGTTAATGAGGTATGGAAACTTGGACCGATGCATATATGTGCCTGGTCCTACGTTGTAGCTAACTGACTGGATTCTTGTCCTGATTTGGGAAGAGTTTCGGTTGGAGTGTCTTTCTCTAATCTGGATAGTTTAATCGTGTGTTAACAAAACTGCTAAGTTTGAAGCGATTACGGGTTCACGTAGACTGCGAACGGAACAAAGACTTGTGACCAAGGATCAATAAACTAGCTATTCTATTGCGTCCCAGCCCCGCTAACTCGAGTGAGAAGTCGAAGTCCGAACTGGGAAGTATATTCCGCAAAAAGCCAGAAGCACGAGTGATAACAACACAGAACCGTCATTGGGAAGCGTTACAAAATATCATACTAAAAGACAACGGACCAATGGCGTTTAAGATCTTCCCAAGTGGGAAATACGACGTGAAGGTAGAAAGAGCGCTTTTGGTGCGAAAACAATTCAAATTTTCTAAATAAAATTACAAAATTAGGTCCTTTTCCAAATGAGTTCTAGGGATCTAACGTTCCCCCCAAAAAACATATTGAAGAAAATATTTATGGAATAAGTAAAGGTGTTCTCTTATGGAAGCCTGGCTTCTTCTCTTTTCGAGCAGCAAAAAGTGTGTCACGCTTATTCGATTTTGAGATTATCAAGAGGATTTGTAGCGCAGGTGGAGTTCTATCCGCTGAATTGGACGATGTAATGTACAAGAAAATACTATTCAGTAGCAGATCTAACAAAAACGTGTGTGTTATCAGTCAAGAAAATTGATTTGATCAATAATATTGTGAACCTGAAATTGATTTATTCTATTCGGATTCGTGTTACACGTTGTATTGGTGACTCAATATAGAGTAGGCTGTTTCATTTTGAAATTCATCAGGTATTAGTCTCTCTCGACGTTTCGTTTGATTCCTTGAAATATGAAGAACCAATCTGAAAGGTGATGCGTAAAATTGATTAGGATAGTACAGATTTGTTTATTCTTTATCATCCACAAAATCGTTTACACCTTATATCTCTTAATCTCTAACATTCATACTAATTTTAGTAGTGTAGTAAATGAGAATGTTACAGTGCTTTCGTAAAATATGAAAATCATACATTCAATCCATCATTTGCACATTTTCCATCAGTTGTCTCTTACAATATTCATCGTTTCTTCGTTCCTTTAGTTATTTTGATTGCTTTCAATATACTTTTCTATTCTATTCGTTTCAATCTTTTGCTGGCATGCATTCCACTTCTGACTAAGTGTTACATAGTACTTATATCTGTCAACATAAGTAGCATACATCATAGTGTTCTTTCTTTTCTTTGTTATTTATAACTTTTCAAAATAAACTAGTACCAAGTTACATTAGAGCTGAAATCAAGTGAGGGTTGAAGAGTTTGGTTTTATTTCAGAACTTTTCAAAAACATATCTCTTTAATCTAAGTCTTGTTATTAGATAATGGTGTAGTCTACTAATTCGAGATAATTTAATGACTAATCTGTAAGAGTCTCTAGTGCATAAAGGCAAGAAGAGTAATGGTTTCAAATTAATAACTTAGTTACCGGTTAATAGTGATCAATTGAATCGTGAACACGTCAACATCTGGAGGGAAGCATGAAATACAGTGGACAGCTAGGATGAAAGTGGACGATCTAGGCTTCGCAAAAGATCTGGCTCTTCTATCGCACACTGAACAAGAGGCGTAAGTAAGTAAGTAAACTATGGAACCTACTCATTTCAGATTCAATTATTTCATGGATGGTTATGATGAATTTGCTTAAAGAAGCCAATTTAAACTTTGCATATTTTTTTTACACCCTCTAGGTTGCTAATTGTTATTCTATCAATAGACGTGCCAAACATCCAGTTCAACTTTATATCACCGGTTTAGGTTCCAATAACACCACAGAGAATAACGTCAACAATAAAGATAATTTGTTAGCTGTAAATAAAGGTATATCTACCCGCGTATATGATAGATTAAAGTTAAGCAACTGTGACAGTTGGGATGTGAATCTATGTGAGGTAAGTTAGTTTATAGATGCTTGTGTGGAGATACGCCTGACAAGCTTATTTTGTAAATAGTTTTTAATACTATTTGTATTTATTTTGTCAATCTTTCACTGTCTGTACATTTTATCATTAAATGACTGTAACTGTTGTTTTAGTAAATGATCTTGAACTCACTTTCCGTTGTGATACTGACATAGCGTGACACACTTGTGGTTGTTCTCAAATACACTGCTACACACACACACACACTCGTTGTTCTACTCTCACTCGTTATTGAGCTAATTGCATGCTGAATCGAATATTATCCACATTTATAGACTGTGAGCTGAGACATATCGCACATAACAGTGGATTACATTATTGGAGAGTTCAACAACCTGTACGGAATTATCGAATATTTATAATTATGGATTTATAATACCAGACCCAACCAGAACACGTAACTCTTGGTGAATTTAAGTAAAGTCCATATTTTTTATGTTGTATTAATAACTATTAACATTATTATTTATTCTTCATAACTTGGTTAACATTTTTTCGCGTTCATATTTGTCTGGTCTACCACAATTATTTGGTGAGCCTCGAATTTGTTATAGACATTTACTATATATATTATTATTACTTGGCACGCCACACCATTCTTGTTTCTCCCACTATGAACTCTGCCAGTAAACTTATTGATATAGATAGCCCACCGACCAACCCCCACAATTCATCACAACCAGAAGATAATGTTTTAAGCTCGATAAACGCCATTTCTGAGTTAAGATGACCAATGTACGGTGCCAACAATCCTAGAATTTGGTTTGCACAGGTCGACGCATTATTTATGGCACGAGACATACGATCACAGGCAACAAAGTATGCATATGTAGTCGGCGCACTCCTCATAGAGATTGCTGCTGAGGTTGGAGACTTGATTGACCATGTGCCAGAATCAGAACCGTATGATAAAATAAAAATAAAATGGCACCGGGAGACGTTGAAAAAAACGGCCATAATCTCACCTTTTGGTTTGTTTGAGTTCCTAAGGATGCCAATCGGACTGAAAAATGCCGCTTAGACATTTCAACGCTTCATGGACAACGTCTTCCGGTGCCATTGGAATTTGGTGGTATGCTCGTACTAGGTCAAGATCAAGACTGGAGTCCATTCGGTGACTATCGCCGATTAAACAACCAATCTTAACTCAGAAATGGCGTTTATCGAGCTTAAAACATTATCTTCTGGTTGTGATGAATTGTGGGGGTTGGTCGGTGGGCTATCTATATCAATAAGTTTACTGGCAGAGTTCATAGTGGGAGAAACAAGAATGGTGTGGCGTGCCAAGTAATAATAATATATATAGTAAATGTCTATAACAAATTCGAGGCTCACCAAATAATTGTGGTAGACCAGACAAATATGAACGCGAAAAAATGTTAACCAAGTTATGAAGAATAAATAATAATGTTAATAGTTATTAATACAACATAAAAAATATGGACTTTACTTAAATTCACCAAGAGTTACGTGTTCTGGTTGGGTCTGGTATTATAAATCCATAATTATAAATATTCGATAATTCCGTACAGGTTGTTGAACTCTCCAATAATGTAATCCACTGTTATGTGCGATATGTCTCAGCTCACAGTCTATAAATGTGGATAATATTCGATTCAGCATGCAATTAGCTCAATAACGAGTGAGAGTAGAACAACGAGTGTGTGTGTGTGTGTAGCAGTGTATTTGAGAACAACCACAAGTGTGTCACGCTATGTCAGTATCACAACGGAAAGTGAGTTCAAGATCATTTACTAAAACAACAGTTACAGTCATTTAATGATAAAATGTACAGACAGTGAAAGATTGACAAAATAAATACAAATAGTATTAAGAACTATTTACAAAATAAGCTTGTCAGGCGTATCTCCACACTTTTCCAATAAAATGTAAATTTAACCTCATATGTTCATCTTTTGATGAAATAACAGCAATTCACACACAGAGAATTAACTTTTGAAAGGAGTTAATCTAATGTATTGACATTTTTTGAATCTGATGTATGGTATTGTTATACAATATACTCAACTTATCCAGATATCGAACTTTTAGGTTTATGATGTTGGGGTTATTTTATCCATTAAACTAGGGTGCATAAAATCGATATGAAATCGATATCATCAATACATTTAGGTTGGATGCTCGATCTACTATAGAGAGACAATACCGTTTACAAATGATTGATCACTAGGTAGTGATCAATGTTATGTGTGTGAAGTCCTTCTTAGTGCAGATCGAAAGCTATCTATCAAGTTGCGATGTGGTCACTAGTCTAGGTGACTCGACATTGCGTGCACTATGTTGAGATAAGATGGTGGGTGGAGATAGTTGACTGGAAACCCTGGACCTAGGTTTCGTGCTATTTGGCACACGTCAGTAAACTGTACCTGTAATCTTGTGGAAACTGATGCTCCCTAACGGGTTCAATCCCGTGTCACCCAGCTTCACAGTCATAGACGTTATCATTGGGCTATCCGGGCTGCGACCGACCTCCTGTAGGACTGAGATGTAATCACAATTGATTGATCACCACCCTGTTGACTACCTCCATCTAACAAGAACATCTACTTCCTAAGAGCCCTAGAAAGTATTTGTTGATCTTCGATAATTATTTTAATAACATATTTTTTGCCAAGAGCTGTATACCAAGGAGACCTATTATTCGGTCTCTTAAATGCACAGTTACTGGAAAATTGTTTTAGCTTATCAAACTATGCCACAATCCCGAATCATTTCACCTAATCGGTCTTATTGGATGAATTAACTGGTAGGACAAAACTTTGGTTACTAACATGTGATAGATTAGTGTATCTAGATAACCTTATACAAATTCACATCGATATAAATTGCCTTATTTCACGTTGGCATCTTGTGAGGTGAAATTAATGCAATCGATGTAAACCAAACAAAAACATCAGTTGTAATGAAAATTGAACATAGAAAGTGACAAATGAAATTAGGACAATGAAAAGTGTAAGAAAATACACACCTTATTATAGAAATCAGTCAGTCAAACACAATCTAAGACGTTTCATATGTGTATGTCAATGTAAGTTGCTGCATTCCTAATAGCGTATAGAGAGATAAAATTGTCAGAGCAAATCGCCGAGTAGTCGAGATAATATTAATATTAATGATAATAGCAAAGACTAGACATAAAAGATATGCTCCGAGAAAAGAAATATGGATTAATGGAATGATAAAAAAAAAACGGATACGATAATTTACAAACTTAGGTATCTAAGGAAAGACTAAGTAGTGAACACATCTATGCCATTGCAAACGATTCTGAATCATGTTAATTAAAAATTGACGATAATTTATTAATCTATCAGTGATCATCAGTTGAAAAGAATCAATATAGATCTTCTGAAGTCAATGAATAATTCTACAATACGTCATTTCACAATTCTAGTCTTAGATCTATAAAAAATTTCTTTATTCTTTGTCATGTGGCGGATGTTCATTATCTGATCCTTATACCGTTATTCGGATATCTATATTCAAACATTTGATAAATTTTGCTGACAACATCTCAATCGCTATAAGTTCCAATTAGGTGGTGGTAACTCGGTCAATGAGTAACATACGAGTTATAGTCAGAATGGGGTTGTGGAGAATGTTAAGTTTTTGAGTGAGATCATGAATCGATCAATGTTCAACCATCATTGAAAACCTGGAAACACTGAATGGTTAACAATGGTTGTACCATTTTTCTTCCACTTCGCTCAGCTGTTCTCCATCTCACTGGTCAGTTGATTGGAGTTCTGTATCTTACATATGGTGGTAGAACATGCTGGCGAAGACAGTTTTGGAGAAAATACAGCTGTTCTCGAATAGAAGTTTGCCTTTTGGCGAAATTCTCCCATTTTCGAACAACGAGAAGCGTACTATGCTCATATGATTTCGAGATGGTGGAAAAGATTTGTAGCTCAGGTGGCTGATTTTGATGGAGTTATGTTCTCTGAGCTGAATGGTTTGGTCGTTGAGCTTTCATCGTTGTTCCGAACGACATCATCATCACTTCTACCTGCAGTTTGTGCTTATGATATCGTTCTGAACAACGATGAAAGCTCCACGACCAAACCATTCAGCTCAGAGAACAAAACTCCATCAAAAAACACTAAACTGTTGTTTTGTCCTGGTGTGCAACTCTTCAGCAATGCACATCCACGATCTTGCATATGGAGTTCGAACCCAGAACCTTCGGTCTTGAGCGCGAACTCCTAACCTGTAGACATAAGTGATGGATAAAATTGTTTATTATCAATATCTTTTCAATGATTTCTGCTTCTATAAACAAAATTTTTCTTTATCTTTATAGGATGATTTTACTAAACTATTTTCAGCTGATAAAATTGTTTATTTATGCGCTGAATCAGAATATCTTCTACCAGAACATTTTAATACCAAGTACCAAACTAATGAGACTAATCAATGTACTCAAGATGATATTTATGTTATTGGTGGTTTAATTGATCATAATAGATTAAAAGGATATTGTTATCAACAAGCCATTGAACGTGGTTATAGAACAGCTAGATTACCATTAAAAGAAATTAATTTACATATTGAAGGTCGATTTGTATTATCTACTTTACATGTATTTCAAGCATTATGTCCTGTATTATCCGGTACAAAAACTTGGTTAGATGGTTTAAAACAAGCAATACCACCAAGAAAGTTATTGGTTTGTATATAATTCAATTGATTATGTTTTGATTTATTAGATATATTCTCCACTTCAAATAATGTTCCCGTTATTTCTTTTTTTCTCTCTCAAATATTTGAAATGAGATAGTTACACTAACTGAATAAAAGCTTCATCTGATTTAATGTTAATACCGAAATCTACAATCAGTCAGTCATCTACAACGTAGGACCAGGCTCATATGTGCATAGATCAAAGTTGCCATACCTCATTACCACAACAAGATGAACATCAAATTCATAGAAGTAGTTAATTCAGTGGTGGTAATATATAAAAGAAAGATTGCAATAAGGATATAGTACAAGAAGAAAGAATTAGTTGATAGAAAGAAAGTTATGAAGCGATTTTAATCCCCTTTAAACTAAAGGGAAGATAGAAAGTGTATGCAGCGACGCCATTGTGATCGATTCTGAGCCATGTCACCCTATTTCCAACCATCGGTTACGATAGTCATGTGGACCCCAACCAAGTAGTCGTATTACAGACATATCCACTAAGAGAACCGGAATTTTTCAATCGCAACGCTTCTGTGATGACTCATAGGAACTTGAGTTATTTGTGTTCAACTTTATGATGATATTGATAGACACCAAACTAGACAATACATTTCTTTATGCTTAGAAGTTAAGACATAAACGGTTTTCTATGTATATGGTTGTAATAGACGGTCACTTATCTACGTTCTGGATTGGAATGACATATGACTCATCCACGTGTATTTCAGGTTTTCTTAGTCTATCTAATCGGGCTACAACTTATTCACCTGAATGTTTTACCCTTCTAGAGGTCAGAAAACTTTTGATGAAACTGAGTTTTTATTTCATCTGCATTGTAGTCAGTGGGGGCGTATACAAAAATAACGAATAGACATCGGCATATATCTCTGAATTTCAGAATACTAACTGTACATTTATTCTGGCAACCTGTAAGCGACTGTTTACTGTTATCTACTCAAGAATTATTTGTCCTATTTTCGAACTTAGCACTATACCTACTCCAGCAGGATCACAAGAAAATGTTGCTGAGTCTCCAGATACACAATCTCTGAATCGCCCTTAATATTATGCCCTGTAGATCTCTGACCAGTGTCATGTTCCAAATCACCGATCAGTATTCTGATTTTAATTTGGTTTATTATTTACTGTATAGCTTAGTGTCCCTGAATTGACCAGCACCATTGACCTTGAACCGACCACTAATTTCTATTAGGTGTACCGACTATTCACAAGCTTGTTTCTAAGTTATACCTTGAGCTGATAAGTATCAACCAGCTTCTGTAATATTAATGTATCAAACAGACATGGTCTACATATAAGTATATCGGAGCACATCACATCGATCATACATGATACAAATTTTTGACTCCAATGTTAACAATATAGTGACACATTTTAAACGAAGAACATTAAATAAAATCATCCTATCAAGTAAACCTAGTCACCTTGAGGTATTCACTAGCTTGTCGTCCCGTTTTAAGCAGTAAAGTGTTTTAGGTTAAAAAGAAGAATATATTTGTAAAATCTCAGCGAATGAATTTTTAAGTAAATCCAACGTTTCGCCTGGCAATCTGGTCCAAGCTTTTTCAAGGAAAAAATATAATCAAACAACAAAATTATCGAATATAAATAGATACCATGGTTCTTCGGTTTAGTGTATACTGAATAAGTCATCCAATCAACGTGAAGGATTTCTTTTATAAATAGGTATTTGTATTAATGTATAAGAGACATGTTTATATGAAAATAATAAAGGTCAACCAAATAAAAGTTCATTTGAAAATGACCAAGGGGAGAGAAGGGAATAAGAAAAATTGTCATGTTATCCTAGGCCATAGAATGACTTAAGGATTATAAGGTAAATTCAAGGTTATGACAAATTGTTTTTTATGTGTTATGGAACCAAAACGTGTTAAGATAACAGAATGTGTTTATACGCAAGTGATATGAGAAAAAAAAAAAATTTCATTCAACTTAATATTGACTACGGTCTGTGTATATTAAGAAAAAACAGATCATTTTTATGTATGAAATGAATCAAAATGCCACAGCCTGCATTAAATGAAGATAAATATAAGATAAGTAAACAAAATAAAAGAGGAATGTATATGTAATTGAAGGTGTGTGTTATTTTTTAATGTTCCAGTCAATTGTTTAACATATTCAGATAAGATAACGGATTTGAATCATTGAACGTATTATCTATCAATTAGTTACTATGGCATAAATATATCAAATGGCAAAAAAAGGAGATCAGGTTTACTTATTAATTATTAGTTGCCATGGTGCAGCTAGTTGTATTCCATCTCTCCTATTAATATTGTTTAAATTAGCCCATATATGTAAGGCTTCAGCTGTTAGGCGTTCTTTGTAAGAATTAAATCCTTTTTGAATGATTCTCGTGCCATTAAAATCAACTGTATGACCCGATTCAATTGAATGTAATGCTATCGCTGATCTGTTCTCAAGCTTTTTTACATCAATTGAGGATTTAGGAATATGCTTTAAGCACAGTTTGTGTTCTTTCACCCTCACATTCAGTTGTCTTGATGTTTCACCTACATACGTTGCATTACAATCATTACATTTGATTTCATAAACACAATTTTGTTGATCATCCTTGTGTATTGGATCTTTGATTCTTACTAGTTTTGATCTTAGAGTATTGTTTGTTCGAAAGAATACTCTTATATTTTGACGAGTTAAAATCCTTCTGATGTCTTCTGAGATACCTTTACGATATGGGATCACTACTGTATTCATCCAATCTTGCTTAACTCTTTTTTTAAAAATATCATTCCGTTCTTCATTCTTAATTGTTCTTTTAATAAAACCTTTCGGATAATTATTCATTAATAGAGTGGATACAACTAAATTCATTTCCATTTTTATATCATTCGGTTCAGTGACAAGTTTTTTGACTCTGGTGATCAAATTTTTGGCCACTGTCACTTTGGTCGCACGTGGGTGCGCAGACTTAAAATCCAAAAATTTCCCTGAATATGTAGGCTTACGGAATATATTAATTTTTAAAAAATCATTATCCTTCCTTTCAACAAGGCAGTCTAGAAACGGTAATCTGCGTTCAGTCGATTCCAACTCTTTAGTAAACTTGATTTTGTCATCTAAGCTGTTGAACCGTTGGAATAGTTCGTCTAGGCTTTACAAATATATTCTTCTTTTTAATGTCTCAAATTAACTCGGCGCCCAAATATTGTGAAACTATTCGTTCAAATTTAGACGAATGTTCTTATTTAGTGTTTTAGGTTAGTTGATGTAAATTAGAACATGATTTGTTAGCAAATTATTTTGCAACACCTAGCAGGATAGTGTCCTTAATTCTATATGTCTAAGTCAGGATCATATTGGAACTCGCAGATGAGTCTTTTTTCAACCAATGGGAGCTAGTGGGGTGTCTTGAAAAGATAAGCAGGTTAAATTCATGTGGACTAATACTACTAACAATGTATTCTAGCTGTTCGAAACCAATTCCACTGGGTAATACCATTAACTTTCACAGAAATAGTTTCAGTCAAAGCCAGTTACTCAAATTTTCACTTGGCATATGTGTCTTATTAATTACTGGTATTACAAAATTGCATAGTGTAGAAGATAATAACTCGGAAATGTCTCAAATTGATGGTTTTAGTTTGTGAAATGCAATTTTGTAATTGTCTATCTATCCAGGGAGTTTGTGGTGATTATTGAATGTGATTAATAATACCACGAACCGACTTTAATTAGACAGCGCTTAGAAAATATAATCACTGGAAAGCTGTTTTGTTCTAGTATAGGACTCCTCAACCCATGCTCATCCACTTTGGTCTCACTGCAAATGTTTACTCTTTGAACCACTGGACCAGCAAAACCTCAACCTTGAATCAATTCACAACATTTCATATCTCCCTTTACCACTCATCTCTAGTAAGATGAACAGTCAACATGACTAACTTGTTGTTGAATGGAGGTTTGTTAATGTACTTTTTCCTGATGCTTGATGTTGAGTCTTCCAATGTTTGTTTTCACATTGTGATAAAAATTCAACCATTAGATTGTGGAGTTGTTACTTGACCATATTCATTAGGTTTCGCTATACCATTGAATTCGTATATCAACCCAATATCTTACTAGATGTTCAAATTACTTGTTAGTAGTAGTGCACAAAATTGGTGTTTAGTGATAATAATTGAAAATCTTCAGTGTGTTTAAGCCCATATTCTAGTAAATCTGAATTGGATTGATATAATAATATCTGGATTATACATATTGTGTCTATTTCATCAATTAAGTTGTATATTCAGATGGATAATTAACTATTCAATGTTTAATTTCGTTACATATTTCATGATCTATATTGTCAAGCTTGTACGTAAAGCTTCTTTTTAGCTTATCAAAACACTCATGTTGTCTGTAATCCTTTAACTGAACTATTGAAGTTATCCATTAGTGAATTCATGACAAACTATGGTATCAATCGCAAATGGATGTGCTTTAAAATCGATTATGGTTGCGTAGATTCAATCACTCTTCCTTTATCTTACTTTAGATCTTCAGTTTCGCTATTCCTTTGTGCATACTTTCTTTTCATTTCATCTTATTGAATCATATTCTCAATATTCAATCATCTTTATTATCGTTGCTACTACTACTACTTCTACATGATTTCGATCTTTATTACTATTCATCTTGATAGTTTTGTGTCGGCATTTTAGTTTAACCTGAGAACTTGAACGGACTCGAATTTGGTATCAGACTGATAGTTCATTATAATTAATGGATTGAAAACCAACCTTGTTCGTTAAATATTGTCAAACCAATTTGACTCCTATTATTGAACTGTAAAGCATCCTGAAGTTGATTACATTTAGATTAATTTATCCGATCACAAGATAGTTTGTACTATGTTTATTCAATTATCATTATTGTGAGATGTATATATAGGGCTACATGTAGAGATAGTATACTATGTCTTTGAATTTGTAGCCTATCTACTTGTCACTATTCAATATGTGAGTGATATATCTAGCACTTTTTTCATTTATGTAACGACACATAAGAGGACAATTTTCCCTGAGAATTTCATTTCAAGCTCTAACTTGTACGTTGAGATGGTCTACAGTAAGTGTAGGTATCATTACCAAGGTTTGATTTGATAATTTCGAATAAATTGAGCATTGGGTTGATTGTTATAAATAAAAATAATATATTTGTAA